TTGGCATATAATCATAGTAGTGTGATTGTTGCATCTTTGGGGTTTCTATTTCCAACTTTCTAAGGCAGCATCAAACTGATTTTCATAGTGGTTGCTCCATTTTATATTCCTAACAAAAGTGTATGAGATGTTCAATTTTTCTACACCTTCTCCAGCATTTGTTTGTTTCTTATTTTGTTGAATATCCTGTTGTTGTTGGGGTGAGATGGTACTTCATTATTGTTTTGGTTTGCACCTCTCTAACAGTTAATGATCTTGACTATTTCTTCATGTGTTTCTCGGCCATATAGATGTTTTCCTTGGTGAAATGTGTATTCCTGCCGTCTGTCCATTTTTATAATTTGCTCATTTTCTTTTTCTTGTCTAGGTGTTGAAATACTCTATACATTGTAGAGGTGAAGTCCTGACCAATATTTTTTCCCATTCTGTAGATTCTCATTTCACTTGTTTAGAGAAGTCTTCTCATGCACACATTGTTGTTGAGCACCATCGAGTGAGAACCAACCCATAGCTGACCTTCCGCCAGGTTTTTAGAGGCAGTTAATCTCATGGGAGGAGAGTGCTCATCCTTTTTCCGCAGAGCAGTTGGCCTCGAATGGCATGCCTTTGGGATTATGTTGCAACTTCTTGCCGCTAGGCCACCAGAGATCCCTTTTAATGCACATGAGGGTTTAAATTTTTAGTATGGTTTCAATCATCTAGTTTATCTTCTGTTGACTGTGAATTTTAATTGATATTTGATAAGTATAGTCTAGCTATGTCAATAATTATAGTTCAAAAATTTGCCCCATTATTGTATGACCTTGATCGTTTTAAGTTTTATTTCTAGGTCTTTGATCCATTTTTAGTTTTTGTATATGGTCTGAAGTACAGATTTTGTTTCTGTTTTCTGCAAATATATATATTTTTTTATTCAGTACTGTCTGATAAATATACTGTTCCAATTTAATGTATTTAATCTCATTGTCAAAGGTAAGTTGCCCATGAGTTGATGGATTTATCTCTGACTTTTCAATTCTATTTCATTGGTCTGTGCATCTCTCATTATACCAAGTTGGTTTGATTACTATGACAGTACAGCAGGCTTTAAGATCAAGAAATGCAAGACCTCCTACTTTGTGTTTTTCCTTTACTACAATTTTGTTTATTCAGGGTCCATGAGAATTTAGTGATTGAATTTTATATCTTTGAAAAAATATGATAGGAGCTGGATAAGGATTGTTGTCATTGTTATGTGCCATCGAGTTGCTTGTGACCCATAGCGATCTTAGGCAGGCTCTAATGCCTGCGCTATCCTGAGCCAGTCTCACTGGCTCTGATACTATATCAAACTATCTCATCCAGAGTATTCCTCCCCTGTGCTGTCCCTCCATTCTCAACATAATGTCCTTCTCCAAAGATCAGTCCCTCCTGGCCACATGCCCAAAGTATGTGAGACAGAACTTCAAAATCTAGCCTCCAAGGAGAAACTTGGTTTCACCCTCTCCAAGACAGACCAGTTTGTTTTCTTGGCAGTCCATGGTATGTTCAAGACTCTTCCCCAGCACCACAACTCAAAGGCACAATTCTTTTATTATCCTTAGACATTACCCAGCTTTATGATGCATAATAAATAATTGCAAAGACCATAGACTGAATCAGGCCCACTTTAGTCTCTAGACTTACATTGTTCATTCTTAGTATTCTGGAGCGGTCCCTGACAGTGTATTTACTTAATGCGATTCACTTTTGATTTCCTGACTTTTGGTGCCAAGAGTGTTGATTGTGGAACTGAGCAAACTGTAACTGTTAACAACCTCAATCTCTTCTCCATCTATCATGGTGCTAGCATTTTATTTGCAGATTGCTTTTGATGGTTGCTGAAGGAACTGATGCAACTGCAACATTGGGGTTGTCCAGTCTGACTTCTACTCACTACAAAAGGGAAATCATCTCCATCAATAATATTCATAGTCCCAAAGAAAGATCTGCTCAGTCAGAGATGCCACCATTCCATGCTCCTGTACCTCTTTCTACTTGGCATTCACATCTGATATTTGTTGTTGACTCATAGACTTTACTCACATTTGTGAGATTATTTTTTTAGGAAAATAAGTTGATGAGTGAAGGATGCAAAGAATATTATCCAATGCAAGCCCTGGTTTACTCTTTAAGTCACAGGACCAGGTTAACAAGGCACAATTCCCCAATTAGTGAAACTCTAGGTTCAGTTTAGCAGCACAAAAACTCCAAATTCCTCAGTTCTCTAGCAAGCATTGTCTCGACGCAGTTCTAAGTCAGATTTTTTTCTAATCATCCAGCCAGCAAAACCTATATATCTGTAGCCTTTATCTCTGAACAGTTAGAGATCAACTGATAAACTTCTCCTCTGGTTATACCTTGCCACAGTCTCTTCACAGCAGTGCCAAAGTCTCCTTACAATTTCTCCACCACTGTCACCACTGGGGGTACCTCATAGTGTGGTAAGCAGTCTCTCTTGTACTGATCCCACAACTGTTAATGACTTTCAAGACTGTGTCCACAGTTAAGATAGCTGGAGACCATGCCCCAAGGGGAGCTAACACCATGCTAGAAAACTAAATTTTTAAGGTTTCTAATACCCCAGTAGTAGTGCTGTTTATATAATGTTAAGTCTTCCAATCAATGAGCTTGGAATGTTTTTCCATTTATGTAGTTCTTTTTGGGTTTCCTGTAACTGTGGAAAATAAAATTCTCACCACTTGTAGTTCTGTTAAGTTTCTGTGTTTTTTAGACTTCTTTTCAATTCCTTCTGTATCTGTAGGCTCAATATATTCTTTACTTTGTATGTCCTTAAATGGGGTAAACTGTTTGTTTTCCTAGCAAATTACTGTTTGAACTCATTCACTAGTACAGTACTGCAGAAAAGTCCTGGTGCTCAGTCTTCTTCCAGTGGGATTTTAGAGACTCTAAATTACAAAGAAGGAGATTATATATCTTTATTACTCAGAACTACTGTGGGATTCAAACTGACATTGTAGGCACTAATTTTGGATGAAAAACACAACTCTATACAGATTATGTGACCTCCAAGTTGTTGTAGTTTTTGTTGTTAGGTTGCACTGAGTAGCACATGACTCTAGTGATTCTGCAAACAAGAGACCTGAACCCTGCCCTATATGCTGTGTCATCCTCTTCATCTCGGCCACCCTGGAGCCCATCGTTGCAGTCACTATGTCAATCCATTCTGTTAAGGGTCTTTCTCTTTTTTTCTCTCTTCCTGCCAAGCATGCTGTCTTTTACCAACAATAGGCCCCTCCTAACAATATAGCAAAAATATGAGACGCAGTTTCACCATCCTTCCCTCTAAGGAACATTCTGGGTGCACTGTCTAACTAGTAGTACATAAGATATTAATTGCTCTTCTCCAGGACCACAATTCAAGGCATTGATTTGTATCATCTTATTCACTGTCCAACTCTCATATGCACAAGGTGTGATTGAAAAGACCATAGCTTAGATAAGGTGAGCCTTAGTCTTTAAAATGACATACCTGATCCTCAGCACTTTGGAGAGGTCACTGCCTGCAGAGGTTCCTGGTGCAACATGTCTTTTGATTTCTTTCCTGCTAGTACCAAGATTGTTGATTGTGGGCCCAAGTAACATGATATCATTGACAATTTCTATTATTTCTCTGCCTATTATGATGTTGACTATTGGCCCAGTGGTGAGACTTTTGTTTTCCACAGTAGCTGCAACAGTGCAACCAAGCTTGTCTAGTAATTGGGCTCTTAGGATGACTCAAGAAATTGGGCAGTGTTTCATTCTGTGGCACATAATATAGCCATTAGTTTAACTGATTTGACAACACTAGCAACAATAATGACTTCTTCTTATTTTTTGTACCATTGGGTTGGAACCAACTCATACCTGACCCTAAAGAGTTATCAGAGACAGTTAATCTCTTGAGAGGAGATTGCTCATCCTTGTCCCAAAGAGCGACTGATGGATTTGAATTGCATTCCATCAAGATTTCAGTGTAGCTTCTTACCACGAGGCCACCAGATCTCCCTGGTGCTCTAAAAACAACTAAACTTCATTTACTCACTAAAAAAACCAACAAACAAACAAAAAACCAACCCAAAAACACAAAACCCAAACCTGAATCAAGTAATGGAGTCAAGTGAAAACATTCCACCTACAACATGAATAAAAAGAAGCTCAGCCCTGATTATGTGCTGTAGAGAGCCCAAGCCAGAAATGTCTCTTGAGTTTTTTTTTTTTAAAGTTCTATTAAAAAAGCTTTGAATATTATACAGGCTTACATTCCTAGGTGACTAAAATAATGCTGTTAAAGTGATGGCATTCCTTTAGTAGATGGCTAATCCTGGCTCTAATATCCTGAGTGGCTGCTCCCCAGCCAGCCTCCCAGGCTTTCTAATCACTTTGTGGTCAAATCTCCTCTCCACCTGCTGGGGAATGTTTTCACACAAAACAGGGATTTGGCCCTCAGCAGCCTTGGACTCCTCAAATAAATAAAGCTGCTGATTGTCACACCTCCTCTTCTCTCCGACCTCCTTCCTCCCCTCCCCAGTCGATTCTGTGTGGCATGACTTCCTTCCCAGTAAACTTGTAACTTTATGTACACTATTGATTTTGACGTTCATCACCCTGGCTTCTTTGAGTGTTTCCAGAGATAAAAAGTAGGACACAAGTCAGTTCTTAACACATAAAAGTCTTTCATTTTTTCTCCCTTACCTTGTGCAGCCTTAGAACTTTCCTTCTTGTTAATTAAGGATCTGAATTATAGTCACCAAAGAACAGTGGCCAACTGCTGTGCATCTGAAATTGGGGCTGTCTTTAGGTCAACCCGAATGTCTTTGTTTTCTTGAATGTCTTTATTTTTTTTATAAGCCAGTCTTTGACTTACAGGAATTGGCCTCCATCAGCTCTGTGTGCCTGGAAGAAGGAGGGGGAGATATGTGTCAGACATTCTCATTCTACTAGATCTGCATGCAGGAGATTTTCCTGAAAAAGCCAGAGGAGAGATTTCCAAAGGTTGTATTTTCCTTCTGGTTGGATCCTCTCATCCACTTTGTGGTAAGTGGGTCAGCTCTGGTTCTGTCTCCCTCTGAGAAAAGCAAAGAAAATACAGTCAGGAATTAACCCTGCACATCCCACAAGGGAGTTATCATTTCCCTGTTTTAATTTTAAAATAAATATATTTCAGTAGAAAACTTTCTTTTTGTTGTTGTTGACTTTTAGATATTTATGTTTGGCTTAGGTGTAGTCATTCTCTTGCTAATGTTGTTTCTGAGAAGAACATAGACAAATTGAATTCTGAAATGTGCTTATAAGTGAATAATAATAAAAAGCGGGCCAAAAGGATGATTTTCTAAGCTATGTTCTACAAAACTTATAGATAAATCCAAAGTTAAAATGATAATGAGAAATAGTTTCTTTTGTTATACTGAAGCTCATAAATATAATTTTAATGCCTCATCAACAACCTGTGTTATAATTGAGATACTTGGGAGTGAACCTAACTAGAGATACAAAAGACCTAAACAAAGGAAACTACAGAGCATTTCTGCAAGACACAATAAAAGACCTAAAGAAATGGAAAAATGTGCCCTGTTTATGGATAGGAAGACTCAATATTGTGAAAATGACCATCCTACCAAAAGCAATCTACATGTTCAAAGCAATCCAAATGCAGATACCAAATTCATTTTTCAAAGAGTTTGAAAGGGAAATGATAAAATTTATTTGGAGAGTCAAGAGATCTCAAATAAACAAAACCCTTCTGAGAAACAAAAATGAGGTTAGAGATTGACCTCAAAACCTACTACACAATAGTAATAACCAAAACAGCTTAGTACTGGTACAATGACAGGCACATCGACCAATGAAACAGAATTGAGAACCCAGAAATAGACCCAGATATCTATGTTCAACTGATACCCGACAAAGAAATCAAAGCTATCAAATGGGGAAATTATAACTTCTTCAACAAATGGTGCTGGCAAAACTGGGCTTCTACCTGCAGAAAGCTGAAACAGGATCCACATCTCACACCAT